AGTTTTGGGGGCATTTGGTAAAAAGCAAAAAAGTTTGGTTTTCTCACCGGATACTGAATGTAATGAGTTGAACTCTTCAGGGAATTCAATTCTGGCCTCTAGGCACCTCGTGTAAACTTTTGAGCAATTTTTGTCGAGTTGGATTTTTGGGTCAAAAACTGACTTTTTCGATGATGCCGGCTATGGAAAACTTTGAAGTTTTGGGCATTTGGTAAAAAGCCAAAAAGTTTGGTTTTCTCACCAGATACTGAATGTAATGAGTTGAACTCTTCAGGGAATTCAATTCTGGCCTCTAGGCACCTCGTGTAAACTTTTGAGCAATTTTTGTCGAGTTGGATTTTTGGGTCAAAAACTGACTTTTTCGATGATGCCGGCTATGGAAAACGTTGAAGTTTTGGGGGCATTTGGTAAAAAGCCAAAAAGTTTGGTTTTCTCACCGGATACTGAATGTAATGAGTTGAACTCTTCAGGGAATTCAATTCTGGCCTCTAGGCACCTCGTGTAAACTTTTGAGCAATTTTTGTCGAGTTGGATTTTTGGGTCAAAAACTGACTTTTTCGATGATGCCGGCTATGGAAAACGTTGAAGTTTTGGGGGCATTTGGTAAAAAGCCAAAAAGTTTGGTTTTCTCACCGGATACTGAATGTAATGAGTTGAACTCTTCAGGGAATTCAATTCTGGCCTCTAGGCACCTCGTGTAAACTTTTGAGCAATTTTTGTCGAGTTGGATTTTTGGGTCAAAAACTGACTTTTTCGATGATGCCGGCTATGGAAAACGTTGAAGTTTTGGGGGCATTTGGTAAAAAGCCAAAAAGTTTGGTTTTCTCACCGGATACTGAATGTAATGAGTTAAACTCTTCAGGGAATTCAATTCTGGCCTCTAGGCACCTCGTTTAAGTTTTGAGCAATTTTTATCAAGTTGGATTTTTGGGTCAAAAACTGACTTTTTCGATGATGCCGGCTATGGAAAACGTTGAAGTTTTGGGGGCATTTGGTAAAAAGCCAAAAAGTTTGGTTTCCTCACCGGATACTGAATGTAATGAGTTGAACTCTTCAGGGAATTCAATTCTGGCCTCTAGGCACCTCGTTTAAGTTTTTGAGCAATTTTTATCAAGTTGGATTTTTGGGTCAAAAACTGACTTTTTCGATGATGCCGGCTATGGAAAACGTTGAAGTTTTGGGGGCATTTGGTAAAAAGCCAAAAAGTTTGGTTTTCTCACCGGATACTGAATGTAATGAGTTGAACTCTTCAGGGAATTCAATTCTGGCCTCTAGGCACCTCGTGTAAACTTTTGAGCAATTTTTGTCGAGTTGGATTTTTGGGTCAAAAACTGACTTTTTTTATGATGCCGGCTATGGAAAACGTTGAAGTTTTGGGGGCATTTGGTAAAAAGCCAAAAAGTTTGGTTTCGCTGGATACTGAATGTAATGAGTTGAACTCTTCAGGGAATTCAATTCTGGCCTCTAGGCACCTCGTGTAAACTTTTGAGCAATTTTTGTCGAGTTGGATTTTTGGGTCAAAAACTGACTTTTTCGATGATGCCGGCTATGGAAAACGTTGAAGTTTTGGGGGCATTTGGTAAAAAGCCAAAATGTTTGGTTTTCTCACCGGATACTGAATGTAATGAGTTGAACTCTTCAGGGAATTCAATTCTTGCCTCTAGGCACCTCGTTTAAACTTTTGAGCAATTTTTGTCGAGTTGGATTTTTGGGTCAAAAACTGACTTTTTCGATGATGCCGGCTATGGAAAACGTTGAAGTTTTGGGGGCATTTGGTAAAAAGCCAAAAAGTTTGGTTTTCTCACCGGATACTGAATGTAATGAGTTGAACTCTTCAGGGAATTCAATTCTGGCCTCTAGGCACCTCGTGTAAACTTTTGAGCAATTTTTGTCGAGTTGGATTTTTGGGTCAAAAACTGACTTTTTCGATGATGCCGGCTATGGAAAACGTTGAAGTTTTGGGGGCATTTGGTAAAAAGCCAAAAAGTTTGGTTTTCTCACCGGATACTGAATGTAATGAGTTGAACTCTTCAGGGAATTCAATTCTGGCCTCTAGGCACCTCGTTAAGTTTTTAAGCAATTTTTATCAAGTTGGATTTTTGGGTCAAAAACTGACTTTTTCGATGATGCCGGCTATGGAAAACGTTGAAGTTTTGGGGGCATTTGGTAAAAAGCCAAAAAGTTTGGTTTCCTCACCGGATACTGAATGTAATGAGTTGAACTCTTCAGGGAATTCAATTCTGGCCTCTAGGCACCTCGTTTAAACTTTTGAGCAATTTTTATCAAGTTGGATTTTTGGGTCAAAAACTGACTTTTTCGATGATGCCGGCTATGGAAAACGTTGAAGTTTTGGGGGCATTTGGTAAAAAGCCAAAAAGTTTGGTTTTCTCACCGGATACTGAATGTAATGAGTTGAACTCTTCAGGGAATTCAATTCTGGCCTCTAGGCACCTCGTGTAAACTTTTGAGCAATTTTTGTCGAGTTGGATTTTTGGGTCAAAAACTGACTTTTTTTATGATGCCGGCTATGGAAAACGTTGAAGTTTTGGGGGCATTTGGTAAAAAGCCAAAAAGTTTGGTTTCGCTGGATACTGAATGTAATGAGTTGAACTCTTCAGGGAATTCAATTCTGGCCTCTAGGCACCTCGTGTAAACTTTTGAGCAATTTTTGTCGAGTTGGATTTTTGGGTCAAAAACTGACTTTTTCGATGATGCCTGCTATGGAAAACGTTGAAGTTTTGGGGCATTTGGTAAAAAGCCAAAAAGTTTGGTTTTCTCACCGGATACTGAATGTAATGAGTTGAACTCTTCAGGGAATTCAATTCTTGCCTCTAGGCACCTCGTTTAAACTTTTGAGCAATTTTTGTCGAGTTGGATTTTTGGGTCAAAAACTGACTTTTTCGATGATGCCGGCTATGGAAAACGTTGAAGTTTTGGGGGCATTTGGTAAAAAGCAAAAAAGTTTGGTTTTCTCACTGGATACTGAATGTAATGAGTTGAACTCTTCAGGGAATTCAATTCTGGCCTCTAGGCACCTCGTGTAAGTTTTTGAGCAATTTTTATCAAGTTGGATTTTTGGGTCAAAAACTGACTTTTTCGATAATGCCGGCTATGGAAACGTTGAAGTTTTGGGGGCATTTGGTAAAAAGCCAAAAAGTTTGGTTTTCTCACCGGATACTGAATGTAATGAGTTGAACTCTTCAGGGAATTCAATTCTGGCCTCTAGGCACCTCGTGTAAACTTTTGAGCAATTTTTGTCGAGTTGGATTTTTGGGTCAAAAACTGACTTTTTCGATGATGCCGGCTATGGAAACGTTGAAGTTTTGGGGGCATTTGGTAAAAAGCCAAAAAGTTTGGTTTTCTCACCGGATACTGAATGTAATGAGTTGAACTCTTCAGGGAATTCAATTCTGGCCTCTAGGCACCTCGTGTAAGTTTTTAAGCAATTTTTATCAAGTTGGATTTTTGGGTCAAAAACTGACTTTTTTCGATGATGCCGGCTATGGAAAACGTTGAAGTTTTGGGGGCATTTGGTAAAAAGCCAAAAAGTTTGGTTTTCTCACCAGATACTGAATGTAATGAGTTGAACTCTTCAGGGAATTCACTTCTGGCCTCTAGGCACCTCGTGTAAACTTTTGAGCAATTTTTGTCGAGTTGGATTTTTGGGTCAAAAACTGACTTTTTCGATGATTCCGGCTATGGAAAACGTTGAAGTTTTGGGGGCATTTGGTAAAAAGCCAAAAAGTTTGGTTTTCTCACCGGATACTGAATGTAATGAGTTGAACTCTTCAGGGAATTCAATTCTGGCCTCTAGGCACCTCGTGTAAGTTTTTGAGCAATTTTTATCAAGTTGGATTTTTGGGTCAAAAACTGACTTTTTCGATGATGCCGGCTATGGAAAACGTTGAAGTTTTGGGGGCATTTGGTAAAAAGCCAAAAAGTTGGTTTTCTCACCGGATACTGAATGTAATGAGTTGAACTCTTCAGGGAATTCAATTCTGGCCTCTAGGCACCTCGTGTAAACTTTTGAGCAATTTTTGTCGAGTTGGATTTTTGGGTTGAAAACTGACTTTTCGATGATGCCGGCTATGGAAAACGTTGAAGTTTTGGGGGCATTTGGTAAAAAGCCAAAAAGTTTGGTTTTCTCACCGGATACTGAATTTAATGAGTTGAACTCTTCAGGGAATTCAATTCTGGCCTCTAGGCACCTCGTGTAAACTTTTGAGCAATTTTTGTCAAGTTGGATTTTTGGGTCAAAAACTGACTTTTTCGATGATGCCGGCTATGGAAAACGTTGAAGTTTTTGGGGCATTTGGTAAAAAGCCAAAAAGTTTGGTTTTCTCACCGGATACTGAATGTAATGAGTTGAACTCTTCAGGGAATTCAATTCTGGCCTCTAGGCACCTCGTGTAAGTTTTTGAGCAATTTTTATCAAGTTGGATTTTTGGGTCAAAAACTGACTTTTTCGATGATGCCGGCTATGGAAAACTTTGAAGTTTTGGGGGGATTTGGTAAAAAGCCAAAAAGTTTGGTTTTCTCACCAGATATTGAATGTAATGAGTTGAACTCTTCAGGGAATTCAATTCTGGCCTCTAGGCACCTCGTGTAAACTTTTGAGCAATTTTTGGCAAGTTGGATTTTTGGGTCAAAAACTGACTTTTTCGATGATGCCGGCTATGGAAAACGTTGAAGTTTTGGGGGCATTGTGTAAAAAGCCAAAAAGTTTTGTTTCCTCACTGGAAACTGAATGTAATGAGTTGAACTCTGCAGGGAATTCAATTTTGTTGAGCACATACATTTCTAAAGACTGACTTGTGGTATCTACAGTCACAAACTAAAAATTGGTTGTTGAAACCTCCATTGCCAATTAATTCATACCAATCAACATAAAATAAACCAGCTGTTAGATTAATGAAAATTGTAACTTAAAAGGGAGCGGTCACTCAATCACAAGTCACATACTTTGTTGGATAAGTAACATATAAACTGTTATAATGTTTCCGATCTTCTCTCTGAAGCCGAATGCATGAACCACCGTCGGACGAAGGAGACGGAAAGCAGGAACCCCACGAAGATGTGGTCAAGCGTCGCATCCTGGACTCTGCTCTAGACTTCGTCCCCGCCTTTGGCTGGTCCGTCGAGTCCCTCACCGAGGGGGCCAGGGCCCAGGGCTTCCCCGGGGTGGCCCACGGTATGTTCCCCAGGGGTGGTGGGGAGCTGGTCCACCATTTTGTCAGGGAGTGCAACACCCAGTTGGCGGAGAAGCTGGCCAGGGAGGTACAAGAGGAGAAGGCAGAAGAAGAGAAAGAAGGAGGAAGGAGGTCAGAATTGGAAATATTTTCTCCTCTACATTGTACCTGTTCATCTATTTATGTAAAGCATGTACAGGGTGAGTTAAAAAAACCAAACCCAAATGTCTGGACCATTGTTTTAGTGAAGTTCTGCATGTAGCACTTTCAAAATCTAGGAATTAAAAGCCCAATTTATAAGCTTTCTTTTAGTACAAGAATCATTCAAAACACTAATACTTTGGAAGGTATGGAATTTTAAATACAACCACCGTTTTAAGGTTCTGTCCACGGATCACAAAAAAGTTCAGTGTTCTCTCAGCAAAACGAAAACAAATCACATAGGGATGTGTGTTAATTGTTTCGTTTTGATGAAAGAACCCACGCCTTTTTGGTATCCGTGGACAGAACTTTGAAACGGTGGTTGCGTTTAAAACTCTGTAACTTGAAAAGTACAAGAGTGATTTGAATGATTCTTGAACTATAAAGAAAGCTTATGGATTGGGCTTTTATATCCTAGATTTTGAAAGTGCTACATGCAGAACTTCACTAAAACAATAGTCCTGACATTTGGGTTTCGGTTTTTTTTTACTCACCCTGTAGTATCCTGCCACTAGTTTGGTGGTTGTGTACTAAATCCATATAGGGAGTCGTGAAAACTTTCAAAAAGTGTTCCTGGTATTCCAATATAGTCTGGTGCACAACATAAATTTGACGGGTTTTTTTGGGGGGGGGGGATAAACATGGCACATAAATGCACACAAGGCTATGGGGGATCGGTAACCGAATGTGCATTCTGTGCAATTATTTGTGCAATGGAAAAAAGATGGAAAGTTTCGATCGAACAAAATATTGAATGCACCAGACACCTCAAAACGCTTTGTAGCTGTCCCAACGTTTTTTGTTGTTTTTTTGAAAAAATGTTCCTTCAGAACACGATGATCCTTCACTTTTGCTGGTGCCCAGCAATATATATGCATTTGCGCACATACAATGATTATCCCAAAAGAAATATCGTCAAATCTTGAAAACCAAATTGGCTTATCATGAAAGGCCAGCATTTGTCTTCTGACTGACTGACTGAGTATAAATAATGCCCCAAACTGAGACTTTCGGCTAAGTGTAGCCTTGTTTAGAAATGTTTCTCAGACCATGTCAGTCTCAATGATTTTCCAAATGTATTTTGTGATAATACGGTATGAAAGTGGGGTAGGATACTTTGGGTTTTTCTTCTCTCTCTCTGGATATGGCTCCCTGGGGGAAGAAAGGAGGGCAATTTGAATCACTTTCAAGAGCCTCAACTGATTTTATTCTGAATGTGCACAAAGCCAATAGCGTCTTCGAATGAGTGTCAGGCGTCGTCAGCAATGTGCTTGAATGTCTCTCCCAGTGGTCTCCTCAAACTCTCCCTTTCATACCATTGAGGGGGTACTTGTGCACGGAGCCCATAAACATTTAAAGAAACCTACATGGAATAGGATGGTGAAGAATTGTTCAGTTTTAGAGGGTGTTCTGGAAAAAAACCTGAATACCCGGTAGTTTGGTTCCCAGACCAAAAGATTCCAGCCATTCTGACAAGGTGCCACAGCACGATGCCAAAATGGCAGGATCCTTCCCATTTCCGAAGCTTTCCAAATATGTTGTCGTTGTCGTTGACTAATGTTCATGTTAGCTCGCACATTTCCAGGTGAACAGTAGCTGTTACTTTCCTACAGAATGCATATAATTTATACCTGTCATGCTTGTTTATTGCCCAGTGTATTACCCCAGTATCTGTATTTAATGTCCATTTAGACCTTGTGTGTCAAAATGCACTATGAGGGCTTGGCTTTGACAATTAATTGACCTATGAACTAAGAATATCTGGTCAGGGAATTGCACTACCCACCGAATCAGGCAGGGACTGAAAACCCAATCACTATATTGCCCAAGGTGGGACTGGACTGAAATGTGATCTGACTTTTGTGATTGAACTTGTGTTCAAATATCTATTTGCTGTATCAAACTCTGGCACAAATGAGAACAGGGGCAAAGAATTATTTGGGAAAATTTGGAATCTAATCTAAATCAACTTTATCTTTCCTATCTTAAGGCGCAGGAGGACCATCCCCTTCATCCGTGACGCTCTGGAGGTCCGTCTGAGAATGATCCTCCCTTTCATAGACCAGTGGCCCCAGGCTATGGCTATGAGCACCGTACCATCCAACACTAAGGAGCACTTCAGTAATCTGATGCAGTTGATGGACGACATTTGGTACCACGCGGGGGACCGGTCAGCTGATGTAAGCATTTACCCTAGTAAAAGGGCTGGGGGCCTCTACATTCTTTTTTCAATGGCATCGGGGGGGGGGGGGGGGGGGGGGGGGCTGTACATTATTTTTTCAATGGCATCGGTGTGTGATTATTTGTGCCAATCCTGCATAAGTTTGAAGATTTATGCCTTGTGTACATTTTTGCCACAAATTGCATGAAAATTGGACCTAGCGTTCGTGCAAACTGCCAAATTTAAGTGGGGTACCAAACAAATCTGTTGCTTTCCATACACCTTGGACTAGGACAAAGCACTCAGTATTTCTAGCCATAATTACAGAATTCTTTGTCTGCTGGTGCTAAAACTTAGCATACATGTATGTACTGAGAATGAATTTTTGTACTAGCAAACTGAAATTCATAATTCATGTTTCTGAAATTGGAAGTAGAGGTGGGAGCAGAATCCACTTCTTCCACCCCACCACTCCCCTAACCCCCAACCCCCCCCCCCCACCACCGTCCATCCCCACCACTCCTCACCAGCCCCACCCCCACCACTCCACACCAACCCTGACCCCATGACCCACTGAAAGATGAAGAGAAGAAAAATTAGGGTTAAGGCCTATTTACATCGAAAAGTTGTAGGAAAGTCCATCACAAGTCAATCCACAAACCACAAGTTGAATCACAAGTAAGGTAAAAAAAAAACAAGAGATGAAAAAATGACCATTTACTGTTTCCTTTTCTGCAGTTCAATTGGTACACAAAGCGCATCTCGCTGGCAGCCATCTACAAGTCTGCCGAGCTCTGTCTCATACAAGATGACTCTACGGACTACCAGGATACAGGGATGTTTATTGACAGGAGGTTGGAGGAATTCGGAAGGACGTACAAGATGCGATCCGACGTGAGTACTGTCAACCGTATTCTAGCAGTACACAAACCAAATGGAAGCAGCCTAGCTTGAAATTTCCAGCTTTCTAGGCTCATGACATGGGGAGATTTGTCAGGAAAGCTGAAATCCCACCCCAGACTGAGAATGCGGATCTCACATTTTTTTTCCGATATTTTCCATTTCCATTAAAATTACAAGCAAAAGCTCACTTATGAAAGCTGATTTATCCTTTATGCAGCAGAGGATCCTCTCAAAATGACAAAACAATCAAGCTGAATCTGAAAAAAAAGGCAATTTTAGGCCAAAAAAATTAAAAATAAGTCGGTCTCTGGTCAGCGCGCGCGTCGATTTTAATCATGCGCGTCAATCTTTTTTTTTTCCAAAATGTTCCGCCGTAGCTCCAACAGCGCCCTCTATTGCCGCACCTCCTCAATTGTTTTTACCAAAGAGCACCAAGGAATGGGAAATTGCACCAAGGCAAATGATCGAGAGCACCAAGGCAAATTATGGAGGACACCAATGTACATGAGGACACCAAAAAAGCAAAATAGTACCCCACCTTGTCTGTACAATCCAAGCTTGAAGAAAGAAAAAAAAAAGCCGCGTCGCCGCGTCAATTCCGGAACTTTGGTCTGACCAGAGACCGAATATATTTTTTTTTTGGCCTAAGTGCAACTCCCGGTGTGCACAACCGTTTTTCAAATGTCGCGTCAGCTGTGTTGTGTACAAAATGGCGCCCAACCGTCTCCAAACCCCGGCATCGGCTCTGTCTCTTGCTCCATTCGTGCAAGTGGGGCTGTACCCAGATACGGAGCCGATGCTGGGGTTTGGAGACGGCTGGGTGCCATTTTGTTATTGTTGGAAACGAATAAAATGCATGAAAAGCAAATGATCCTATGCCTCTAAGCCCCTCCCACAAACTTTGTCTTCAATTGTTGTCATATGTCTAGGTTGATCAAGCTGTGACTGGGTTTCTTCTTTAATGACTGCAGCCTTTACCATAGTAAGTACATACCATTGTTTACATTTTGTGCATAATTTTGCATAATCAAGCATCAAAAACTGATTTCTGTCCTCGTAATTTTTCGGGTAAAAAACACCCTCAAATTGTGACTCATTTCCTTTCAAGGTAGAGTATATCATTTGTCATTTGTGCTTTTTTTTTTTTCGTTTGAAGCAACAAAAGTGCTCAAAATGGTGCTTAACAACTAACCTGATGACGTTTTAGCTCAGTCGAATGCTGTATATTCAGAGAAAACAATATTCTAGGATCTTGATTTCAATTCAAAAATTGCCGAGTCATGTTTTGAATTGCGCCCAGAGTCAGCATCCGGGACACGTTCTCATCCAGCCGATTGCAGCTATGCAATGTCACACATAAACCGACGAAATATAGCAACCGTGTGCTCTGCAGATGATATACTCTACCTTTACTGAAATTTCTCAGACATGTTTTTCATGCATTTGCACCGTGATGCACAAGACTGCTTAGAGTGTGAATGTCGGTCCTTCTTTTACACACAAGGATCAACCACTAAAGTTGTACAGTGTGAGTCAAAAACAGCGTGACCAAGTTAGTAAAAGTATTAACATATACCAAGTGGTACAACCTAAGGCGGCCGGGTAGCAGCGAGACCGGATAACGTGTGAAGACGGCTATACGGCACCGTCCGTGCACCCGCCACCCGGGCCATACTGTACCCCGAGATTACAGAAAACGAAACGGAATGGGGCGTGATCTAATAGGCAAAAAGTATGCAAAGTAGACACATGCGCAACAGTGTTTGCAAAACCAGTCTTTGTATGCTAAGCTGTAATCCTTGAGTTGTACAAATGTATGAATACAATATATGGCCGAGTAAAGTGTCCACCAACCAACCCAACCAACCCACCAACCAACATAGGCAGCTCAACCCCACGACATGTCTCACAACGCAGTGTGCAAAAGATAGATGGCTTCACTGGCTCGCTCCATTTAATAAAAATAATGTAGGAATAAAGATATGTAAGGCCAAAAAAAAAAAGTCTCTGGTTTCTGGTATGGAGCTTGCCCAAAAAGTGGTGTGGCGACGCGGCTTTTTTTTTGCCTCAAATGTCGGCTGATGACTGCAAAGGGTGCCCGACTAAACTTAGTGCAAATATATGGGAGTCCAGAGAGGTTACATAAAGCTTATTCTCGATCATAACCCCATCCAAAAACATGTTAAAATTGTGCAGCAGCAGAATTCCAGTCAAACCAGTGAGTTTGGTGGTTTTGAGACATCATCTTTCATTGAAAAAAAAAACTTTTTCATTTTGCCGACGCGCGCGCATACCAGAAACCGGAGACTTTTTTTTGGCCTAATGGACGAGTAACTGTGAAAATTGTACGTTATTTACATAGTCTGTTCACAAGTTATATCTATTTTTAATAGAAAATACCACACAATTCAGCTGTCCACCACTGATCATTTACCGATACATGTTGATGAGTACCCTTAATACAAAAACAAAAACTAACAAAGGTCAACAGACAAAAATCACCATTCTCATTTCAGAAAAAGACTTGATTTATTCTTCAAATACAAAACACAAAATCTGACAGTTAAAACAACGTTTCAGTCTTGACTAAAAATAAATCTCATGTGAATTTGAAAGCATTTAGCATTCGATGGACAGCTGTGAAAATGGGTTCTTTTAGTAAAGCATGCATATCTTCTGATAGCAAGGATCAATTCCTTAGTGTTTTTTTTTTCAGGTGAGTGGGAGAACATGCTCGTTTAGTACGGGAATAAATGTGTGCTTGGCCGGTTTTAAACACTATGTTTAAGACTGGTGGGAGTCTGGATGCTGATATTCGGCTCAGGTAATTTTCAGCAACCAGATTCCAACCAGTCTTAAACATACAGGGTAAATAAAAAAAAGCGGAACCCAAACCCCCAAAATTATATTTCATACTTAAAAAAAAATTTTGCACCAAAAATAATGATGACTGGAAAAGCCAATTTCATAAGCTACGCTTATTAGCTGAACAAAATACTAAAATTGGTCAATCCGTTCAAAGAATATTATACAAATATTGAGTGGCTCAGCGTGGAATGGGAGGAATATTATCGCAAGGTAAAATCTGGACTTTTCCATTTCACGAGGCGAAGCCGAGTGAACTGGAAAAGTCCAGATTTTATCGAGCGATAATATTCCTCCCATTTCACAATTTCAAGCCACTCAATATTTGTTTTATATAACTGACATATAGATCCTTGTCATTTGATATATTTGAACTTTTTTCAATACAAAACTGGAGGAAAATGTATTTCTCTCTTCCAAACCACCCTTTCACGAAAATGTTTGAACCTAACGCTGTAGCGCTGGCTCTTTGGAACAATACGCGCTACGCGCAATGCTGAACGCGCACACCAGCATGCATTTGCACACAAATACCGCGTCATGATCCTAACTGTTGAAAAGTATTTCCCATTCCCCATGGGCGGATAGTACTTTTTGAGCCGCGGCGTGAATGGGAGCAATAACGAATGCCACCTGAGTTCCACCAATCAAATGACAAGGATCTGTATGTCGGTTATATAACACCATTTAAACACAATGACCCTAAAACCTGTCTCGTCCAAAAATTTCAACAATCGTCGTCATTTGTCTTCAAACATCACCAGCGATGAAATCTTAGTTTAAACGTTAACAATATGCAACAAAGTCCTTTTGAAGGCCCGTCTTTCAAAAAGTAGATTTTATAAATCATATTGTTTGCCTAACCAGGGTTGTTAATCAAAATATTGTGTACTACAGTTGGTGACTGTTGTTGAAACAAGTATTCTGTTGCATTTCCTTTGTTGTTCCATACAGTCAAAACACACAATAAATTGCTTTTTTTGGACGAGACAGGTTTTAGGGTCATTGTGTTTAATGGTGATAATCTTTGAACGGATTGAGCAATTTCAGTAATTTTTTCATCTAAAAGTAGCTTTGGAAATTGGCTTTCCAGTTTCCTTTTAGTGCTACATATTTTTTTAAAATATAAAATATATTTTTTGGGGTTTGGGTTCCACTTTTTTGGACTCACCCTGTAGTGTTTAAAACCGGCTAAGCATATATTTAATCCCATTCATAAATACCTTTTCGGTCAAAAATCAAAACGTTTCGGTCCAAAAGTCAAAACAAGTCAAAAACTATAAATTTCCTATGATTTTGTTCAAAAAGTTTACCTCATGTTTTTCAAAACACCCCTCTTTCTATATTATGGTATGCCCTTCTCGCCTGAAGACGTAGCTAACTTCCTTATATGGAGATTGGCGCGTGCGTCGCGCGTACTGCTCAATGTGATGCAGACACAGCTGTGCCGGTGTATTGTGAATTTAGGACTTTGAAATATCGACTCACTGGTAGTAATGGGCATGCCTACGTGAGGATTGTGAACGTTCAACCAATGAAAAGTAAAAGGCACCGGATTTCATAGGAGTCAACATTTCATGTGACACTGGATCAGTGTTTAAGACCAGCCAGCTGGTCTTTATCAACTGTTTAATCCGGCCACGTGACAGGCTCTGGACCAATAGGAATGGGTAAACTGTCTTAGGTATTCATGAATAGGTGCTTCATTGGTGTTTCAAATTTAATTAAGAGGAAAAAATCATTAATCCTGGTCACTTTCTTTTTGACTCACCCTGTATACATTGGCCAAAAATGGTGAATTTGTGCCTTTTGTGTTTTGTATATTCAGTTATGCCCCCCTACCATATTACGTCAGTAAATGGCAAAACCTAATATAATGATATTTATAAAAAAAAAATAATAATAAATAAAACCTGGGTTCTTTTGGCTCTTACACGTAGCTGTTGCTGAGGAAATAAGAATGCTCCCACTGTTAGCACTTGCTATACAGTATGTGAAAAAAAGTGTCCGTCTGACTATATTTAAAATAACTACACAAATTGTTGATTGTGCAGATACTTCTAAGCCTTGGCCTCAACCCCTATGAGTTTCATTTAATTTTAGTCACACATCACTGCACAATTGTCAATTGATCACAACAACATTTTTGGACACTGTGACCATGCCTTATTCAATTTCAGTGCTGTGTTAAGTAAAGCTGTGTAAAATCCTTCATGTTGTAAAAAGCGCTGCAGTTGGGATTAGAATCATTTGCCTTGCTATCAGTCATCATGTCAAGGCCTCAGTTTAATGCTCAAGGGCAAATGATTCCAATCCCAAACCACATCAGCCTTTTTTGGGTGCATACATGTACCTATGTTCCCCAATACCGATGTTCCCCAAAATCCCCAAAATCCCTACCATATAACCCTAACCCTAGCCCTAACCCTAACCCTAAGGATTTTGGGGAACATCGGTAGTGGTGAACATCGGTATTGGGGAACATCGGGTAAACCCCTTTTTTTTTCTCAACTTGCACGATTTTACACAGCTTACATAACACAGCACTGAAATTGATTAAGACATGGAACTTGGTCACAGTGTCCAAAAATGTTGTTGTGATCAACTGAAAATTGTGCAGTGATGCATGGCTGAAATTAAATGAAACTCAAAGGCATTGAGGCCAAAACTTTTTAAAATGCACCTCACGGTTTTGTAGTTATTTTAAAAACAGTCAGACGGACCACTTTTTGGGGAAATACTGTACATGGTGAGTTAAAAAACCACCAAACCCAAATGTTGGGACCATTGTTTTAGTGAAGTTCTGCATGTAGCACTTTTAAAATCTAGGATAATTCAAGTCACTCATGTACTTTTTAAGTTACAGAATTTTAAACACAACCACCGTTTTAAGGTTCGTTCCACAGATCACAAATAGTTCAGTGTTCTTTCAGCAAAACGAAAACAAATCACACAAGGATGTGTGTAAATTGTTTTCGTTTTGCTGAAAGAACACACACTTTTTCGTGATCCGTGGACAGAACTTTAAACGGTGGTTGTGTTTAAAATTCCGTAACTTGAAAAGTACAAGAGTGATTTGAATGAATCTTGTACTAAAAGAAAGGGTGACTGCTCTATGTTCCGACACCCCTATGTTCCGACAACCTAGATTGTGTTACTCCCGGTTAGGGTTAGGGTTAGGGTTAGGAATAGGAATGTGTGCAGTCGGAACATAGGGGTGTCGGAACATAGAGGTGTAACCAAAAGAAAGCGGGCTTTTATGTCCTAGATTTTGAAAGTGCTACATGCAGAACTTCAATAAAACAACAGTCCCGACATTTGGGGTTCGGTTTTTTTTACCCACCCTGTAGAGTACCAAAGTGTTATATCATCCGTCTTTGTTCTGGTTCATGTCAACAAACACTTAAGCTTTGCATGAGCCAGAATACGCAGGAAAACTTCGGTATTCTATTACATTCCCTGTTGAAGTGGCTCAGCATTACATATCCACCCTAAATCAACATGGTGTACATCTCTGTAAAAACAGAAACCACTGCAGTGGATTGACTTTTTCCGTGTTATTGAAAGAGTAAGGAATTTTCTCCAGATCGGAATTTCAACATCATGATTTCGACATCATGATTAGACAACACATTTTTTTTTTTTTTTAATTAGATTCGAAACTTTCAGTATTTATAAATTTTTTCATTTTTTGTTTTGTTTCAGGGAAGGAATATAGCGGGATTGAACAACAGAAACCGATGAGGTCGGGTTTTCTAGGGCAATGTATGCAGTCCCCTGCAATGTTTGTTCAAACGCCCCCACACTCCGCTCCACTGACATTCAAGGATATTGAACCTCAAAAACACTTTCATTTGCTAGCTGGCATTTATATCATTTTGAGGTGCTGCCAAAGTTTTTAAGCTAATTCCACTTTCTTTTCTCTGTATAGTAGTTAATAAAGTTGAACCAAACCAGTTTGCCGTAATGGTTTATTTAATTTTGGCGCATTGGGTACGTCATGTAAATTACAGATCTGTCTACACCCAGGATGCATCCGAAAGTGTTCCGCGCAAGGGATAGAGCAAATTGCTTGAGTGTTTAAATCTTCAGTCCATCATTTGCAGCTATCCAAAAAGTAACTGACGTAAATATTGTTGAAAAACATACTTGGTTGAAAGCTAGTAAGGGAATTTCACTAAACTGTGAAATAATTTTTTTCTGGCATGTAGTCATTTTTAAAGAAATTTGACGAAAGAAGGCCTTTCCAACGATGCGTCTTAAGACGCATCATTGGAAATTTCCATTAGTAGTTCATTTTTTTTTATTTGGCAAAGCATGAGCAAGTGTTGACATGATACACACACATGCAGTTGCTATAATTCGTTGGATCAGTGCGCGACATCGCGTAGCTGCAATCGGCTCATTAAGAATGTGTCTCGGACGATATTCAGGCTGAATTCAAAACATGATTCAGCAACTTTTGATTTGAAATCGAAATCCTAGAATATATCCTCGATATATATACATGTACAGCTGAAGCTGAGCTGAAACTTCATCAGGTTAGATTTTTGATTTAGATCCTTCCTTAGATTTTGAGCACTTTTGTTGCTTCAAACGAACAAAATGCACAAATTACAAATGATGGACTGTACCCTTAATGATACAGCTCTATGGTCAGATGGTTCAGACTTGGTGTCTCGGCCCTCAATCAGTTACCACACCCAGACCTGCTGTTTCCCTGAGATTTTGCCCCTCACATCACCCCCTACTCCTGCAAAACTTGAAAACATTAAAGAAAAATAAACCCATACTCCTCATAAGAATATGATTGGCCCGTGAACCAATTCCGTTATAATGAATCTAGCTGGCCCTGTTAATAGCAGCCTGGTGCGTGTGTGGGGGAAGGGGTTGGTGTTGGTTCCACCTCAAAGTGGACCTCTTTCATGCTTTTTCTTTCACACGCTAAATACCAACAGTCCGGAAAATTTCGTTCAATCACAACCAATCATTCTTTTTGCAGTTTATCACATGGACAGATAACATGGCTGAAAATGAACCCGTGTGGAACAGGAGTAGATGGGGGGAGGGTGCTTGCATTCCCTAGTTCAGCGGCTCACTAAAATTTATTCTCAAATGGCCTAAGAATGCAGAAGAAACCATGGTAGATTTCAAAAATTGTCCGGGGGGGGGGGGGGGGGGTGATGAGGAGGTGATGCCCCTGGACCAGTGTTTCCCCTGGCTAATGAACTGAGCGAGGTGGTAACAATTCAAGTTGATGATTGAAACGAAATTTCCGCAGTCTGCAAACTGAAAAGAATGCAGCGCTCACAAAAATGCGCGATGATTTCAAAAACACATCGAAATTGTGAGTTCTTGATACATGGAGGTAAAGGAAAACGCTCATATGTTACACAAAATGAAAATTTTTCAATTGATATTTCCTTTTTTGCCAATGTTCACAGCGAGGTGGTGATATTGGCAAAAATTGAGCGAGGTGGTCACTGAAAGTAGCGAGGTGGGCCACCTTTTAATGGGCAGGGGAAACACTGCCCTGGACCCCCCTTGCAGGGGACCCCCCTTGCAGGGCACGCCGATAGCTAGATTTGCCCCTGATTGGGTCATTTGACGAACCCCCTGCCTCCTCCCCCCCCCCCCAATGCACCCCTGGATATTGCCCCGTACAGTTCCTTCATTCTTTAGCCATCTAGGCCCTTTCCAAACCCACAGGAAATTGTGCGTCGTCAAGATATGCACAATGTACCATGCATGAGCCGGTACCACCCCACCCGTTTGCAAGACATGCGTCCACCTTTATCTTGGTCCTCCATATTAATTTTACAAACGCGGTTGCTTGCCTTCGCCAACTTGCACTTTGGGGAATTTGGGCAAACTGTTGACTCATGATTGAACAGCACTATTTTCTTGAGGGGAAGGTGGATTGACATTTCGGTAAACTTTTCAAATGTACCTGTAAACCCAAACTAAGCCACCGCAGCTTTATTTAGACTATCAGACTTCAAACTAACTTCTTCACTTTCGGGTCCTTCGCCTCCCTTGTCAAACGAAACTGATTAAACTGGAGCTCGGTTTAATATTTGAACAATTTCAGTATCTGCTATTTTGGTGTGCTGTCACTCACAAAGGCTAATCTTTCTATCGTCGTCACAGAGCAGCACAACTTTCCTGTTGATAGTATAAAGCAATGTGGCCTGGACTAGATATTTTTTTCTTGATTTCCTGAACTTAAGGTTTTTTTTTTCATTTTGAACAGGATATACGTGTAAAATATGCACATGGTGTATACATTCCGGGGGCAATTTCCTCCATGGATATTCCTCCCGGATTAAATTGTACCACTGTGGGTAAGGTCACGGTCGTGAATATTGTAGATTCCAAGTACATTTCCACATGCTCGTTGAAATGTGTGATATCATGTACAATAACTTGTGCTAGCTGTGAAGATTTCATTGGGGAAAAAAATGTTGCAACCTGACGCCACTTTTTTCTTCATATATCATCTCAATGAAGGTCATTCATTGCAAAATGATAAGACATGAATGTGGGACTGAGAAACATTTCCAATTTTGTTAGGAAATACTTAGAGAATGTTCTCGACTCTCCATAGACCTTGTGCACAATCGCGGAAGTTGCGTCAGGTTTGAAAACAGTTGTTCCTTTCATTGTTATTATATTGGACAGTTTTAAAGCCAGTACATGTACATGTATGTAGTATTTCAAGAGTTGTTTGCAGTGAAATTACATTTAATAAAACTATAAGTATTTGTCACTTAACATCTTTATTTTGTGTATTATTTTGAAAATAATTTTGCAAATACAATCATGTTACTCTTCTATGATGCTCTACTAATCACATGACCCACATTTCGACATGGATAAAATCTGATTGACTTTTGCTAAAATAAGCTTTTTATTGTCTTTAATTCATTTCAAACACACATATGTAATACATATTATAATTATAAAAATACAAAAACATCTTACGCAAATGTCAGCCAAAACGCAAATTCTTTACTTTCAAAACTAATTTTTAAAAAAATGTATACTTTTGTAGTTCACATGCAGTTGTAAAATGCAGCTAAGCATGTTTTTTTCGTTAACTGATGGTGCATAAAATCAGTATATTACAGACTGAAAGTAAGGAATGTTCATGCATTTTCATGGATGCAATACACACTTTTATGTACACTTTTACATATAAACATGACATCTAATGAGAGTGATAACTTAATTTCTACATCTGAGTCCAGCTCTGAACAGTTGGGGGGGTTAAGCCCCTCCCATCCTTAACAATACCTAGTATTTACACATGGGGAGTCAGGTTGGCGTAGCGGTACTTTCCTCGCCTTCCACCGCTGTGACTCAGGTTTGATTCCTGCCTGGGCCAATATGTGGATTGGGTTTTCAGTCCCTACCTGATTCCTTGGGGTTTTCAGGGCTGCCAACTTTGAGTAAGAGCTGTGAGTGAGAATATGGCGATGGAGCTTAATAAGACGCAATCATGCTAATTGGAGCGCGAAGCCCTAACAGCGTGGGGGCCATTATTAATAGGATCCTAGACGCTCTGTGGTGTGATAGGAGTCCATTTCTGACCAGTTTAACCATTTTATTTTTTTAGCAAAAGATCATCATTTAAACATAATTTTCGAGTTTTATTTATTTTTTTTAGCGTGAGAAATCCCCAGTTTGCGTGACAACATGAGAACAACGCTCAATGCGTTAGAGTTGGCAGCCCTGGGTTTCCCTTGGAATATTCTGGGGTTTTCCTCCCACCTCTAAAACTGTAATTTCTTAACATTGTTTTCTCTTTACTGGGCACCATGAAAAACCAGTGGATCCCAGTTGAATTAATAAATAAACACTTCATTCTAAAATTAAAATTCCATACATTTTGTGTGCACAGTTTGCTGCTGCCGTCTGTGCGCTCAAACTAAGCAATGGATGATAAAGATATTCAATAATGTAACAAATAATTATTAATTTTGTCCAACCAATAAAAATAATGTACAAAATATTTATCTTGCAATGTGTATACAAATGCACACGGACATTTGTATTTCAAGACCTTACTACATTTTTTTTTAAATACGTATATGTACAAATGTTCATGTAAATTTTTCCTCCAATGTACTTTTCTGATTTACACCAGAAGTTGTCACAAAATTATAGGATACAAAATTTAATGAAGTCTTTAAACAAGATTACATATTAAAAAAGAACCAAATTTACACAATTTAAATACTGCTTTAAACTTTAACAACTGGTCCCTCATCACTGTATAACTCCACAAACACCACCCTCCAATTCAAAGATTTTTTTAAATATCTTACCGTTTAATTTGGAAAAATTTGCAAGATTAAAATTACAAAGTGGCAGAATTACAGCACTTGGTCATTTGTGAAAACAAAGTGTACATTATACATGATGGTTGTGTTACTAAGATGGGTAGATTACAATGTAAACATCAAGATATGAACCGTTATTATTCCTATGACTTTCTCAAGGAAACAAGTTTAATACACCAACACACAATGTCTCTAAGATGTTTGCAATACTCCAAATCCTGTTTATCCTTCCATGACCATTGTTTTAATAACAAATTCTGCCAAAAGCAGCACGAACAACAGTTTCTCTTCAGTTACATGTAGGTTATAGGCCCAAGGAACCTTGGAAGACGTACACATGTACATTTTTGTACACGTACAAGTTGGCAAGCAGCAAAGATACCATTATTATTGAGAAAACTGTTTACAAAACTTTTCTCTGGATTAACTTAGACTGGAGCAGTATCGGTACATGCCCTTGCACAAAGAATGCAAAATTACTCCATCTGGAATGTTATTTAGCAGAAAAAACTATAATTGTGGTGATTGTGAAATTTCTTTCCAACTAGTAAAGTTTTTTTGTCAGTAAATCAAACGCATAGGATCATTTGCAGTCATCCCAAAAGTAACAT